CATGCCTGTGCCATATTGTTAACCTCCTGCTGTGCTATTAATCACAATGAACCGCAGGAGACAGCCATTAATGAACGGCAGGCTTGGTTAGGGGAAATGGACCGCTGAGCTCAGGGTTAGGGGACATGCAAATGAGCAGAGCCGGCTGCGCACTAGGCGGCTATTTCACCGATGGGTGCCTGTTGTTGGAGACGTGCAGGGGGCTTTAAGGCAGCGGTCACTGTGCTGCCATAGAGACAGAAAGCCGCTCTCTGTCACTAGAGCCTGGCGCAGCGTTGTAGGTATTGACATTCCCCTGCTTCTCACATCATACTGTTCCCAACCCTTGTCTAGAGCTGGATACAGAACAGCATGTACAGTTCTCCAGACCACTGTCTCTAAATGAGAATATTTGAGAATAAATGCTGCTGTTGCACATGCCTTCTTGCAGAATTATATAACTGTCTATAATGTATTTGGGGAGCAAACAGTGGAACAGAGAGACCTAGAAAATTCTCTTGCTGTTCTGTGACAAAAAATAAAGAATTGAGGAATAGCACAGAATTTAAACTTTGTGCCATTTTGGTGAGCACATCCAAAGCTCACCCACTGGTGTATCCTAACTTTGGGAATTACTGCAGATTTAAAGGCTGAAAGTTTGATGATGGGTACAACTTCTGCACCAGCATTCGTGTGCAAGCATGTTGGGCCTAGAGCGTATTTCCATTTTCACCAAGCAGATGGTATTTAAAGGGGAAAATGAATAAGTTGCTTCATCATATGCACATCAAGGCCATGAGAAGATCACCACTCAACCACAAGCAGTCTGCCTACCTGAACATGCTCCCACCATAAGCCTCATCAGACGTCATGTAAGACAGATGGATGCATTTTTACGCATAGACTCGGGTCATTATTTGCATTAAGCCCGGTGTGGTTTCCATGGCAGGGAAGTTCATACACTGAGAGGCAGCCGCAGCTGATATGAATACTGAAAGAGGTGGTGGGGAGGAAAGAAGAAAACTCAAAGTGAGCCTGTTGGGATAATAACCACACTTACCCCATTGTTGTGGTTGAAATGACAGGCGACACCTGACCGCTGATCCTTTTCGCTGGCAATAAAAACGAATCTCTAGGATTGGCTGCTGCTGCGTATGAAGGTCTTTCTCTCTACACGACAGCCTCCACAGTATCACCGTCGGTGCGTCTGCAGGAATTTGATGACAACTGCTCCATTCCCCCTCTTGCTGTCACCGCATGAATTCACACATACATGTCGTTCTGCAGCGCATGGCACACAAGAAGGCAAGATCTTTCTCCTTTGGCGTTTCGGGTGATGGAGCGGCAGCAGCAGCAGCAGCAGCAGGAGATCCAGCGCAGAGGCTCCAATGGAGATCCGACAGGCGCCCTGCTGTTGTCGTGTAAATTACAGATCCTCACTGGAAGAAGGGTGGAGAAGCCCTGCTGCCTGAACTGGGAAAGACAACCCTCATTTAGCCAGTAGATAAAGCGCAGCATCACACTGTCCACCCGCGTCTCTCTCCCTCTCTCTCTCTCTCTCTCTCTCTCTCTCTCTCTGTGTCTCTCTCCCTCCCTCTCTCACAGGCTACACCCCCACTCTCTCGCTATTTCACACCTATTCCACACTCTTTATCAGCAGCGCATTCCCTAATAAAGTCATCTCTTGTGCTTCTGCAACATCAATTCCTACCTCTTTTTTTTCACCCCCAAATTCCTACCAAATCACGTGACACACCCCTGCTCTCCTTATCAATATTGCCCTGCGAAGTCGTTTGTATAGATTAAAAAATGATGCCTCAACTGTGTCTGCTGTGGTTTTTATGTGCGCTTTATTGATCTGAGCCCATCCATCCATCCATCCATCCACAGACCCTCCCCTCCCCTCCACATCTGGCTGATGCATCCGCTTCCCTCCTACTCAGTTCATGTCAGTATTGAACTGCCTACGTCACGGCACCGTCCTCCGCAGTGACGTCACTCGGCGCTCAGGGGACTGATGCCATTTGATGCTTTGTTGTTTTAAAATAAGTTTTTTTTTTTTTCTTTTTGCAGGGAAGTAGCCCACTCACCACTGCCGCAAAAGAAAAAGAAAAAACGTGATTCCAAGGCTGCAATGTGATAGCTTGCTCTCATCCCCACATTTTCATGAACCAGAGAGGCAGAGAGGAGACGCTTGTTGATGTGTCCAGTGAATGGAGACTGCTTTATTGAATGCAGCACAATTAAATTATAAACACCCCTAAAAAATAACTCAGTTCGTCTCTCCCTGAGTTATTTGGTGTCTTTGTCTGTCAGTGAATCTTTGGAAAGCTGGAAAACACACACCTATTTTGGAGTGATCCAATCATGCACCACGTAATGAATATGTGTAATACCTGACTCTTCCATTTATTTCATCAGTACTAGTCTACAAGAGATGTTTGGCATGTTTTTGTTTCAATTGTCCTATTCTGTTCGTGTCAGGGTGATGTAATTGTGTTATCCTTTTGCATATTTCATATATTGACGGTGCACTCGTGTGAAGGTTTGTCTCTCATCCACTCTTCCTTTGTGCCAGGTGGCCAGTTTGACCCTGAGGCCTTTGGAGAGCACAGGAGGCCGGACCTTGTCTCTTGAAGAAATTAACAAATAATTCTGTGGAGGCCATGGAGTGCCTCACAAGTGGATAAGGCTTGATCTAAGAGTTAGACAAGGCCAAGAGTGACTGACTCCCACCTTAGGTCCCTCTGCAGGGAGGAGACAAACTTCCCCATAAGACATAGTTCGACTTTATATGTTTGGCTCTTGTCTTTGGAAGGCATGAGTCCTGCATACATATATATATAGCTGATTGCCATAAATACCTTTGATGGACACTTGATCCTTGTGAATTTCCTTTTTGTTGAATTTCCACAGCTGTCAGTGAAACTGATCAATGGACAACACCTATTTTGGAATCTTGTGGATGTGAGAAAACAATAATATAAAGCCAATAACCCAAAGAACAAGAAGCTGATGATGCAGCAGATTAATAATGTTGAGTGACGAATGTAAGCACCCCCAAAACTCACAAAACTGTCCATGGGAAGAAATATGTACCACTACAAACTGAATTTGACTCATTTATATTTAGATTTAAATTGCTCAACTCAAATAATTGTAATAAAAATTCAGTTTCAAGTTGTTTGGAATAAAGTTACAGTCTAATCAATTTAAATTCAAGTTATGAGATTGAAATTCACTTTTTGCTATATTACAACAACAAGTTGAGAAAATTAAAACATAAATCATTCAAATCAGTTTCTAGAAGCACATGTTTCTGCCCATAGTGACATTAAACTGAATCTGAATTTCGATAAGGTTCAAATTCCCATTTTTAATTACATTTATTCAACTTGAGCAATTCAAATTCAAATAAAGATTATTCCAATTTAGTTTTCTTTACTGATTACTTTAAATGTAATCAGTTAATTTTTTCTAATGAAGATTAAATGTAATTTCAGCTCAACTGAATTCAGTTTTCAAAGATTTGATTCAGTTTTGAGTTTATTGGAATTCATATTCAATCCAGTAAATTCTAAAAAATGTTATACCTATTCAATCTTTCAGCTGAACAGCAGGTCCAGACTGAAGTGAAGGTGCCATCTAGAGCTGAATTCTAAGCTTGTCATCAGACAATAGACAACAGGTAACGTGACAGGAGTCATGGCGTTTTTACTGAGCTTATCTGATTCACTGCAAACATTCAAATTGAATTTGGATACACAGTAGTCCATTACGTCAAAAAAACAAATTAAAGCATTTATACAGACAGCCACGTAGATATGCATTTATTTGTATGATTTCAGTCCTTGGGCTCCTTCTATGTGCTCCGTACATGCCTTCCTTTATTCAAATTTCCAACACTTTAAGTTTGCTTATCACAGCTATGCAGATGACACCAAGATCTATGGAATGATCTCACCAGTTGATTTTGGTTATATAAAAACAAAACTTACTCAACTAAATAAAAACAAGGATGAAATAATTCCATTTGGCAATAAAGAAAGAAGGCGCTCAGTACTTACCTTCAGTCCAGGGCCCTAAAACACACAAGTAGCTCATAATGTTGATGTTATCACAGCCACATCAGAGCTATAAATAAATCAAGTTATCAGTAAGTCATTGTGGCATCTTAAAAACAAACAAAGCCAAACTGAGAAACTTCGTGTTCAAGCAAGATTTTGAAAAACTAATTCATGCTTTTAGTCTAATACACTACTTACTGGCATCTCTAATACGTACAAAATACATTTGCAACCCAGTCAAGATGCTGCTGCTAGAATACTGACACACAACAAGGGGAGAGAACACATGATTGCAATTCTTAGATCCTGCACTGGCTTCCTGTTAAATATAAAATTGAATTTCAGAGCCTATCTATTGTCTACAAGTCTGAGTGGTCTGAGCCTAAAATATATCAGCGATATGTTTGCTGAGTACAAATCTGGAAAGTCTCTCAAATCTGCACATAAGACATGGTGAATTACTGGTTGAAATTTGGTTTTAGGTAGCCTACACTATCGAAAACAAAAGAACAAAAGGGAGTAGCACCCCCATCAAGCATGTCAACAAATGGCTTTAACCCAAAAGAAAGTTCCTAAACTATCCCAACCTCCTGCTGGAAATCAAATAAGTCGTGGCACAAACAGAAAGTTAAATGGGCAGGTTGCACACCCCATACATCAGCTGCTACTGAACGGCAGCTTCACAGCACTATAAACCAGGTGGAGAAATGATTGAGGCTGGATCGGACACCAGGTTTGGTGCTTGTCCCATCGAATGAGCTGCTTCACTGACCAGTGTTGTTGCTGCAGCAGCTTTTTTCTTCTATTCTAGGTGGACTTCCAATATAAAGCGCACGAGGACGCTTCCCCTTTAAATCTGCTTCCATTACGTCATGGCTCAATGCGGAAGTACGAGCGCAGGAAATTAGCATCTTCAGTTTTGTTTACATGTGACATGTAAATTGGTAAGTGTTCCGCGTTGTATGGGTTCAGTTTTCGAGTAAACATTTTACCATTTAGCCACCAAAGACGGATACCTCGTGTAACTCTACAGAGAACTGCACGTGGTTTCCACAGTACGTTCATTGTTGTTTAAAGTAGCTAGCTTAGCGCAAGCTAACGATCGTTAGCTCGCTTAACTACCCGATCACCGGTAAGTTTCGGTTTCCACGATAACTGTCCGCGAAAATCCCGTTTCTCTCATGTGATATTCTGCAGCAGTGTTGCTACAGATTCTCTCACGCTGGAGCTTCCATCTCCTCTAATGTCGTTGTTTTATGTTTGTTGTGGACATCAGAGAAGTTGATGCTGGAGCTCCGTGAAGAACTGCAGCATGTTCCCCCGCAGCGCTGCACCGAGGGGGCGGCCAGCCCTCAGTAACGGCCTGTACCCTCCTCCCCCGGTGACCAGATGTTACGATTATAACCACGGGAGATTTGGAGGGGTCAACAGGTGAGTGTGAAGGAAGACCGAGCTGAAGCGGTGTAGACATGAGCAGCGTCAGTGAAGTTAGTAAACTTTACAAACTGTGGTGGAGATTCACTGACATCGTGTTTAGGATAGTAATTCTGTTATATCAAGGCATTTTGTGTAGGCCTGCAACAGTTGGATGATCAACTCTGATAGTCATCTCTATCACACATGACAATAGACTGAAAATCGTCAGACTTTATTGGTTAGACAAAAAGAAAGCTATTGAAGATGCCAACCTGGTCTGAAGGCGTGTCTGCTAAAATGCCAGAGGAGTGGCACATCAAAACCACAATCAGGAATTCTGTTCTGCTGTTGTAGTATAGAGGCTCATTGAAAACTATGTCAAGATAAGACCAAGAAAATTGCATTTAGATATCCATTTTATAGTTAGTGATACAGATGATCTCATGTATCAAGACTAATAGAGGCACAGTTGATTAATCAGTGATAACAGTAATAGTTTGTTGTAGTTCTTATGTTGTGCAGCTTAAATGTTGTATCTGAAACACACACCCAATGTGAAAAGAAAGACGCTGGTATGGGATGAACTGGCTCCAAACAGAAATGATTGCCAGTGACAGTAACTTTTACGACCTTGATGTTTTCAGTTTGTCTATAAAATTGCTGATTTTCCACTGAACAACAAGCATAAAACGTCTTCATGTCTCTGGCACCAGAATGAAAGAAAACCTTAAATAGGACACTAGAAACTTGACACGTTATCAGTTACAAATGGTTGCTTGTTGGATGCTTCTGTGTTCTGTACATTAATATGTCCCTATGTGTTTTTGACAGTTTTCATGTCCCTGAACTTGAGAGGTTGCCTCCATATGAGTGGAATCCCCCACGACCCATCCCTGCTGTCCCCCATCCTCACACACCACCTATGACCAACGGGCGCAAGTAAGTCATTTAACATCAATTGATGATCGACTAACCTCTGCCTCTTTCTTCTGTTTCTTTAAACTGACCTTCAAGTCATGAGCATTTGCCTTTAACCTGTTGACATGACATGATTTCTTATCTTGATCTTTTTTCTAGGAGGCAGAATTCTGAATACAGCCCTCATTTGGTGAAGCGCCAACGCCTTGACTCCTTCTCCCACCCATCAATAGATTCTCCTTTAGTTCACATCCCTTCACCCCCTTGTCATCCTCAGCAAGTGAGGGCAGAGTCCTTGCGATTATCCACCACTAGTTTTGAACGCCCTTACTCCAGTCCACAGTTCGATATCCACCCTCCAGCACCTGCTGTACCAGAAAGCTTTAACAGCCTACAGGCCTACGCCAAGGACAAGGTGTGTTCCAGTGGGCTCAACCTGTCACTGATATACATTAAATCTGAGCATGTTTTCGTGCAGGTGTGTTTGGTTTTGTTAGTTTGCATATTTTTGTTCCCTCAGCTGAGTGTTCAGATGATGGAGCTGTTTGAAGCATGCCAGCAGCAGCCTCCAGATTTGGAACGCAAGGAGAGGTGTCGAGCTCGACTGCAGGAAGACATACAAAGCATCTATGCAGGTATGTCTGAAATCTGTTGTCACAATCTGTTCTCATGTTCCTGTTAAGATTCTTTATCACAAAGTGTGTTTGTCACAGTGGCACGGCTTTACCTGACTGGATCTTCTATGAATGGATTGGGTTGCCGAAGCAGTGACGCTGATCTGTGTCTGGTCATCAAGGGAAATGTGAGTATCTCCGACTCCACGCTGTTGTTAGAATAATTCTATGTTATGATCCAATGATCTTTGTAAAAAGTATGAGAATGCTTTAAATGTCCATCGCCTCTATTTCACCTTGTGAGTGTGAGGTAAGGACAAGACGTCCTCAGCGGGTTGTCAAAACACCATGCCTAAACACACGCATTTGAGGGAGGTTGTCTTCTGTTTTCTGTTCGCTGTCTGTATGTAAGAACCAATGCTTCATGCTACTAGTCAGTCACTTGTTCAGACTCTGTGCTGTACATGTGGCTCCTTGCTGCAACTAAAACTTTGCTCTGACTTAAGAGACGACTTTGTGTACTGATTTGGAGCAGTTAGGACTCCAAAGAAGAATTTTCCTAACAGCTGTAAATGTCTTTCAAATGTGCTTGTGAGAAATGTACAATCATAGACACCCACTTCCTCTTAAACAGCTGCCCGGTTTCCTGTTTTCTTGTTTCAGAAAAGACCTGATCCTATTCAAGTCCTCTCTCGCCTCCAAAGGACTTTCAGAACCCTCTGTGAGTGATTAAAAACTATTATTTGTATAGTAGCACATTATCTAACAACTTTGTGCAGTTTTTAGAAATGGCCGCAAACATTGTTTTACTTTGTATTATCAAACTAAATTACTTCTTTTGTCAAACGCAACTAAAAATACTAGCATCGTTTGTGGGCTTTTTTAGTTGGACTTTGTTCCTCAGATTTGATGCCCTTGTCAGTTTCCACTAGGTGGAGCTGTTTACTCAGTGGAAAACAGTTCCAGTTTCACAGAAAACGAAACAAACAACATTAAACCTCATGATGTTTGTTTTAATTTCTAGCATATGTAGAGAGGACTCAGCTGATCAGAGCCAAAGTGCCGATCCTCAGGTTCAGAGAGAGAGGCAGGTAGGAGCAAAACAGTTGTTGAAGCATATTTGTACCTGACGATCAAATGAGAAATAGGTTTTGTATGTGAATGACTCTCTACTAACTCTACGTTCTTCAGTGATCTAGAGTTTGATCTGAACATCAACAACACAGTGGGCATCAGGAACACATTCCTTCTGAGGAGTTACGCCTATGGTGGGTAATAACTTGATTTTTATGGCAGCGACTTTTCAGACTTGGTCTGTCTGACTTTAAAGCTAGAGTATGCAGGATCATTAAAACGGCAAGAGCAACAAATGAAAAAAGTCTCGTCTCGCTCCTAAACACACTAAAATGCTCACTGTCTCAGTACAGCTGCAGCACTAACCCATGAGAGAATGCTGATGAGGAGCAGAGTGCGACACATTAAAACAACATCACATCTCATTCACTGTAGCTCATAACCCCACAAAGCCAGACAAACCAGAAAAAGAGAAAAAAAGCAAACATGACAAACATTTTCAGGCCCTTCGACTGGAATAGCCACACTGATATTGACTTGGTTTGACTTCTATCCAAACTTTTTTTTTTTTTGCTCATCGCCTTTTCTGCTACAGTCTTTCTTTTCTGGCTTTGTGTAGCACCACATGATCTTGCAGGTTTAGGTGGCTCTACAAGTGGCTGCTCTTTGTCTGCCATGATTGTGGTTGCAAACTCTACCAGTGTGCCCTGCTGGTCTTGTAGAGTCCAAGACTGTGCAGTGTGCGCAGGTAGGCAGGTATGTAGCTAGACAGGCATGTGAACCATCCATGCGACCAGCTTTTTACAGGCCTGTGTCTGCCAATGAACCAGATTGTTTTCTTTTTATTGTCAGAGCTTAATTGCTGTCGGGATGTGAAGAAACTTTCACCAAATAAAACAAAAAAAATGCTTGTAGAATACTTTGCATACTCTAGCTTTAAGTAGGCTCTAACTGTGACTGTTCATTGTGTGTGTTCGTATAACTCTGAGCAGTGTAGTTGCTCCTGGTTTTGACCGTTGTGTGTTTTCTCTCAGCTGATCTCAGGATAAGACCCATGATCCTTGTCATCAAGAAATGGGCACGGCACAATCAAATCAATGACGCCAGCAAAGGAACATTGAGCAGCTACACACTGGTTCTGATGGTCCTGCACTACCTTCAGAGTCAGTCCCATCACACGTGCAAAAGAAATCATTTTCAGTTACATTTTGTACTTTTAACTTAACTTGTACTTGATGTGTTTTTTTTTTTTATTCAGCTCTTAAAGAACCCGTCCTTCCTTCTCTACAAAGGGACTACCCAGTAAGTGTTGTTGAATTGTGTTGTGTAACACTTTAGCTGTTTTTGACCTTCTCATCCAGAACAAATGTGATAAGTACTGCTGGAAAAATGTAATAATATGTAAACAGATGAAAAAAAGTAATAAAAGCACAGCCTTCTATTTGCAGTTGATATTTTCTGCTGTAATTTTCCACTTGGAGAAGTTATTATTCACATTTAAACGGACAGTAAACCTTTTCCAAACACCTCTAAGTTGCAGTGTCACTCAGGTTTAAGTCTTTGTCCTTTTGTTCTGTGTCTTGATTTTCAGGAGTGTTTCAGTCACTTCATGGAGATAGACATGGTTCCAGAGGGTCCCAAACGCGTCCCTCCTTATCTCTCAAGAAACCATTCCTCTCTGGGAGAGCTGCTTTTGGGCTTTCTCAGATACTATGCCACAGAGTTCAGGTATCTCACAAGGTCATCACATTGTTGAGTCTAGTGTTGCAGATGCATTCATGGTTCATTTTCTTGCTCCCATTTCGTATCTCTCGCTCTTCTTGCCAACTTCTCCTCCCTCTCCAGTCCTCTATCTCTCTTCTCCTTCCTCTGTCCTGCATCCACCTCTCTGGTTTCACATTTCTGGCTGAGGGGCAGGAGCAGGTGGGACCTTTGGCCTTACACAGCATTAACATGACATACCCTGATCCCCGTGTTTGCAGGATGTGTGTTACGGTGCCACACCATAGTTGAATAGTTGAACTACAACTCGCTGCAAAGACGTGCACTGATTTTAGACTATCAAACACTCAAAACACGTCACACTCATGGGATGTTTTTTGCTCTTTTACTCTTCTTTTTTTTTTTGCCTTAGATGCATAAACTGTTTATGCATCATGTTGTTGCTGCTGTTTACAATGAGGAGCACATTATTCCAACGAACTCAGCAAACTATAAAATTGGACGTACAAAGATCAAAATCTATCAGAATGAATATGTATGAACTCAACTAAATATTGAACATTCAGAAGTGAAGACTCATAAGACAGACGTTAGCAAATAAAGCTGTAGTAGAACAGTTTTTAATGGTGCATTAGGAATGAGATTGCGAAACAGTTGCCGATTGCCACTTCATCACTTGCACAAGCATGCTACTATGTCAATTACAGCAATGCCACAAGTGTCTGTTTTAAATTTCACCGAATTCAGCTAAAATTGGGCCTGGGCGGTGAAAAGATAGCGATATGTGATGTCAATGTACTTTTAATCAACAGCAGTAAGAAAGTAGCTGCAGTATTTGATAGTTTTACTTTAATGCATCAGATGTCATGAAATCATGTAAAGAAAATGGAGAGTTAAGTTATGTGAGAAAACCCCAAATGCACTCCCATAACCCTTGAGAACGGAGCATGCTCTCCCCAGTAGCTGCTGTGCAGGTATTCCAGGTGTGCTAGTCCGTGGCCACCTGTCTGCGCTCACAGACCTTCCCTGGTTTCACAATCCAGGCTGATAGACTTTATTTTGGTGTACGAGTGAAGGTTATTATGCTGCATCAACCACTCAGAACCTTAACCTCAGTGTGGTGCAGTGGTTTCAACCTGCCTCCCCTCTATGCCTCTCTGGGTTTTATATGTTCTCTTTGTGTATCGAGGTGAGATCATTCCTTTGTCCTTATTAATTGTATGTATATGTGTTTTTTTCTGCTTGATTTTTATCATTGTGTTACCATTTAAAATGTTTCTTGTGTAACTAGGCTAAAGCGATTGAATTCAAAGTTTTTTTTTTCTCCTGGTCTTTACTAAGAAGTAGGCCATTACAAATCATTAATTATTGATGTTTATCTGGAATGAAACATTTGATTTGTGATGAATTTTAAGCTATGTCACCCATCCCTGAGTAAAATCAACTGTAAAGAACAGACTGTATCTTATATGATATTTTTGGCCAGTACAGTGTGTATGTTACTCTGCTGAAATGTGTAAAAGCACTTTACAACCTTGGTCATTGTGTTTCACTTTCAGTCTAATAATCAATAAATGTATCCACTGCTGTTGCTTTCTCTGTGTCTTACAGGTGGGATAAGGAGGTGATCTCAGTTCGAGAGGCCAGAGCTTTGCCCAAGACCAATTCTAAAGAGTGGACAAACAAATACATTTGCGTGGAAGGTAAACGGTTTCAGTGGTTATATCTTTCCACGGCCTCCACCACTGAACATCAACAGGAGTGTCAGTGTGAGAAGCGTCCACCTAAAGGCAACAGTGATTCTTTGTGTTTCAGAACCATTTGAAAGAAATAACGTCGCCAGAGCGGTCCACGAGAAGATCAAGTTCGATGCCATTAAAGCTGAGTTTGCTGAGGTACGTCACAGTCCTGATAATGTGCTCCTTTCATATTCCTCTCCTTTCTAAAGCTGCCGTGGGCCAAACATGAGTTCTTCATAGTCCTGTTTCTTTTCATCTTTCTCTGTCTGCACAGTCATATCGGATACTACGGGACAGGAAGGACCTGAACTCGATCCTCCCAGTCAGAGCTGTCATTAATAAGGAGTCATCTCTTAGATAAGGGATTCCTCTAATTAGACAAGCTGACTGGCGTCTTCTACCTCAAGACAGGTTTGTCTCCAGAACAGATGCAAAGCTTTTGGGACGTGCTGAGAGAGAAGCCCTGCTGCCTCGGCACCTCACAGCCAGAACGGCCCTGGAACCGAACGTCATGGCTGCCTCGGTGTTGATCACAATCTGTGTTTTCTGTGGCAGTGCTTTTGAAAATGTTGAACTCACTGTCAAATGCCAAATTTGTGTAACTGATACTATTCCAGTAACCAAGAGTAAAGGAAAAAGTACAGTAAATGTGGAGGGACCGCAGAGAAATCTAAGTTGTGTCCCTTATACAGAGAAGCTCTGAAGCAGGGTAATAATGGTCAGTGTTAGTAAAGATGCTTAGTACTGCTACATGGCCCTCTTTCCCAGTCTGCATGGGCCTGCAGAAAGAAGTGTATCTATGAAATAGGCGATGACACAAACTGATATCAGTGGTCCTTCCATATGTAAACCTACTTTAAATGGGAGCAACAACATTTAGGTTGCAAACTCTGCCACGTTTATCTCCTCTGATGTCAGTTCAAATTACATCCACATTGTTGGAGCCAAACTGCTCAGTGTCAGATGAGAATTTATTTCTGCCACATATATGTACAGTAAATCAATCGCCTGTTTGGACCAACTTGTAACATCAAAGCCTTTTTTCTATTTTTGTAGGTGAGCTGGTACAGTATTGTGGGTTTAAACACTGCACACGCTTTTTTTCTACAGTTACATTGAAGACCTTCTCGTTTTTCATCATCACCGTCTTCACAGATATCCGAGTTTGTTATTAAGCCATGTTTAGGTTAGCGCCATTATTAAAGCTACTCTGAGTTGATCACTAGAGGGCTGCAAAGAAGCCAGACTCTGGCTATTTCTGTTCCTTTGTCATTGCTCCTGATGTGCATCATTGTTTCTCACCGACTGGTGTCAAGGCATTACGATGCCATTGTAGTCATCTACTTGATGTGTTTGGACTACACTCAATTTTCATTTCACTTAATACTTGAGTTCTTTAAAGAATTTACACTTTTGAGTGTGACTTTGTTTGTTCTTTCATCTTTGGTTCAGGTTTTTCCTCTGCTCTTTTTGTATATATTTTGTGCATTTCTGACTTTAAAATGTTTATTTAAAAAAAATAAATTTTGAAAGATGTGTGATTGTTTTCG